CTTGTGTTGAAATTCTTGCAGAGTGGACCGGAGGGACAGTTACCTTCAGATGCTGGGGTCATACCTAGGGCCGTCAAGCAGATATTTGATACATTGGAGAGGCAGAATACTGAGTACAGTGTGAAGGTCACATTTTTGGAACTGTACAATGAGGAAATAACAGATCTTCTTGCACCAGAGGAGATATCTAAGGTTGCTCTGGAAGAACGGCAGAAAAAGCCATTGCCACTCATGGAGGACGGGAAAGGTGGGGTGCTTGTGAGAGGTTTGGAGGAAGAAATAGTCACTAATTGTAGCGAAATATTCTCTCTTTTGGAAAGAGGATCTGCGAAGCGCCGCACAGCAGAGACTCTTTTGAACAAGCAATCAAGGTTTAGTTTTACTCATTTTCCTCTATTGATCTCTAGCCCTTACATAAACTTAATCTTATTTCATCTGTAATATTTCAGTCGTTCGCACTCGCTTTTCTCAATTACAATTCACATAAAAGAGGCAACCCCTGAAGGAGAAGAACTGATAAAATGTGGGAAGTTAAATCTGGTTGATCTGGCTGGGTCTGAGAACATCTGTCGTTCTGGAGCTAGGGAGGTACATTGTACAGTATAGTTAGCTCGGGTTTTACTGTTTCATTTGGCATAAATCTTTTGTCAGTTCTATGGTATTCTTGAGTTAGACATTCTCTTTTGATTTTAGGGCCGAGCAAGAGAGGCTGGTGAAATAAACAAAAGTTTGCTTACTTTAGGCCGTGTTATCACGGCATTGGTTGAGCACCTTGGACATGTTCCTTACAGGTATGTATCAGTGGTCAAGGATCCTTGCATGCAATAGCCTTTCTTACCTTACTGAATTCTCTTCGCCTTTCAGAGACAGTAAGCTCACAAGGTTGCTTCGTGATTCACTTGGAGGGAGAACAAAAACTTGCATTATTGCTACTGTTTCGCCTTCTGTACACTGTCTTGAGGAGACATTAAGCACATTGGATTATGCACACCGGGCAAAGAGCATAAAAAACAGGCCCGAGGTAAACTGACTTTGTTTTTTCCCTCCATTTTCAGCCATTGTTTCATGAGTTCCCCTAAAGATTGAAAACCATCTCATTTTTTGTGTATGCCAGTGCCATTTAGTTTCACTTTGTCATATCTGATCAATTGCTGATATTTATCTATTTCACAGGTTAACCAAAAAATGATGAAATCAACGTTAATCAAGGATCTCTATGGAGAAATCGACCGACTGAAAGCAGGTATTTAGCGAACCCACACTCAACTTTTGTAGTTCAGATAGTTGCAGAATGGCCTCACAATATTGACTCCTCCCCAGAGGTCTATGCTGCACGTGAAAAGGTTGGGGTGTACATTCCAAAAGATAGATACCAGCTGGAGGAGAACGAGAGGAAGGTACCATTTGACACGATCTCTCGTATCTATTTGAATCCGAAGTAGACACATATTCCTTTTCCATTCTTGAAATCCGATATTACTCACAAACCTTAATCATTGAAACTAGACCCTAATCAGTAACTTCAACCAGATATTAACCAGTAACGTGGTAGATTCCTTGTATCTTTATACCAATTAACTTTTCCTGTATTTCTTTTGAAGGCCATGGCTGATCAAATTGAGCAAATGACTGCCTCTTTAGAAACAAATCAGAAGGTACAGAAACTACTCAGTTGCTGGAAACTTCCATGTCTCTGTTCATGTTAAAAAAAAAATCAATGCTTTGCTTTGGTTTCAGCAAATCAATGACCTGCAAGAAAAGTACGATTCTGAGCTCCAACATTCTGCTGATTTGAGCAAAAAGCTCAAAGCCACAGAGGTAAATTGTATTTCCTACTTATAATCATCTGATGATTTTTTGTACAGTAAGATTAATATCTTGTTCAACAGAAATGTCTGGACCATACAAGCAACCTACTCTCAACAACAAAAGAGGATTTGAAACAGGCCCATTATAATCTCAAGGAGAAAGAATTCATTATATCTGAGCAGAAAAAAGCAGGTTCGGTTTTATTTCCCATTTTTCATTATTGCAAACACACCTTTTCTTAGTTCTAACTGTATTTTAATGCACCTTTGCACATCAGAAAATGCTCTAGCACATCAAGCCTGTGTTCTGAGATCAGAACTTGAAAAATCTAGCCGTGATAATGCTTCACTGCATTCAAAAATAGCCAGAGGAGATAAACTAAGTGCTGCAAATAGGTCGGTGGTGAACTCATTCCAAGCTGACCTTGCTTCAAAGTTGGATATTCTCTCCAGTACCCTCACTGCATCTATAGATCAACAAAACAAACACCTAAAGGCTGTGGAAGACCTATGCCAATCTTGCGTTGATTCCCATGACACGGTACACATCTACACAATAATTGTCTGGGCTCATACTCCATTTTGCATGCTATTTATTCTTGGTTTAACTTTTGAAGGCTACATTGGAGATAAAGAAGAAGATCTTAGCTTCGAAGTCGTTATATATGTCGCACATGGAAGCTTTTCAAAATATTGTGCTCCTACATAAAGCAAACACAAATTCTACATTGGAGGATGTATCATCTCTGTCTGCAGCAAGCTGTTGCAGTCTTGACCAGGCATGTTGTGACCTGTTTTTCAGTGAACACTTTTTGTTTGTCTCACATGCTTATCCTTTGCTTCTATTCATTCTCACGGGGATATTCTTGCTGTCAGCTTCTAGCATGTGTTGAGGGAGAGGCACTGAAGATATTTACTGATATTCAGAGTTTGTTAGCCGACCATCGAAGCGAACTGGCACACTTCACTAAGGAATTGCGTGATGTCAGTTACTTGATCCGACTGTCAACAGATTTTCAGCATAACTTAGCTATGATTAGCTGCAAGTTAAACTTTGCTCCTGTTGTCAACAGAGTTTCTGCATTAGCTTGGATAGGACGAAGGATATGTCCAGCTTCATTCTTGGGCTCTTTGAAAAGTACATGGAGGAAACATCCAAGTTGCAGGACCACTCGAACCACACTCATGAAGCACAGGTCAAAAGCCTTGAAGAGTTTCAAAAGGCTTATGAGGTGATCCATTCCCCTTTTGTTGACTACTCGTTGGCAAAATCATGTTGGTGTATCTAATACCATCACTTCGTGCAGGAACAATCAAAGTCCGAGGAACAGAGGCTTCTGGCGGATATCACCAGTTTGGTGTCCAAACACATTGTTCGACAAAGAGAGCTGGTGCGTCTGTACTTGCGTGTACCACTTGGGCAAATTTGTTTGTAAGCGACCAATCAAACTACAAAAATCAGAATAAACCTGATGTTTGTTTCCTGCAGGTGGATGTTAGATTAAACTCTCTTGGTGATGCTGCTCGTGGTAACAAGACATTTCTGGATGAGCATACGTCTGCTATGGAGGGTGTCACAAAGGATGCCAAGAGAAAGTGGGAAATGTTTGCAGAGCAAGCAGAGAATGACTGCAAAGTTGGCTCCAGCTTCTCTTCAGCTAAGCATTGCCGCATGGAAACAATTATGCAGGAGTGGTATGCCTGATTGCATGAAATGTTTCAACATTCACCGATTCATTTTAATTTGATTGAAATTTTGTAACTAATGATCTTTATTGGACTTGTCCAGTGCATGCACTGTCGACTCTGCTGCACAACAATGGAAAAAATCCCATGCTGCAGTTAATGATTTGTGCACAAAACAAGTGGCTGAAGTTGAAGTACTTGTCAGGCAAGTAGATTTGTTATCATTACTTTTGTTTTTGCTTACATGTAGCCTGTTTTGTTCAGTTAGATTTTGGTTTTCTCGGAATTCGCTCTATAGATAGTTCAACTTGCTTTGGCACTCTTCATGCTGGTTTGATATAAGTTAGCTTGAATTAAGGCAATTTGGGTGCCAATTTGACATGTCAGTGCATAATTTTGGATCAAAAAAGCACACCTGAATTTCTCAAAACCATGTCTTGTGTTAATCGCATATTTTGAACATGGGGGTCTAATTAGCTTTGCTGTCTGGATATTTCAGGGTTGCAATCGAAAACAACGAGCAGCATGAAGCAGAGATTGCATCATCTCGCGCCTTGGCTGAAGAGCAAGCATCCAACAGTAGCAAAGAAATACTCCAGGATATCGACAGTAATTTCTAAGCGCTCAACATGACTGCTTATTCAATAAGAAAGAGCTCCCCATCTAATCTCGACTTGCTTCTGTGTGTCCCCCTTTGCCTCAGATCTACTGGAAGAGGCACGTAATTCTGCATCAAGAGTTGTGTCGACAGTGGAAGCACATTCGGTAGAGATACAGCATTTGCAGGAGAACCACTCTGGGCAGACTTCAGGCGTCAACACACATGCCGAGAGGGCTTTCCAAAGCAGCTACAGGGTGAGATGAAAATCCTGTGAAGAACCGTCCTCTTTCCCCAGCGCCCCAAGTCCAGTGTGTATTGTTGTTATCTTGTCTGAACTCCCCTACCATGCTGTTTTTTGCAGGACTATGAGCCGACTGGCGAAACTCCGATGAGGTCTGAGCCGGAAGTCCCGAGCAAAGGCACTATCGAGTCGTTGCGAGCGATGCCAATTGAGTCCCTGATGGATGAGTTCCGCGAGAACCATCCCTATGAATCGAGCAAGGAGCCCAAGCCGTCGCTCATCCCTCGCTCGCCACTCGCGACACTCAACTGAGAAACAATGATATACTTTTCTGTGTGCAGTGTAATCTTATTAGGACATGAAATCGCTGCTGGCTTTGATGTCCTTGTTGTGCTATGTTTTGTGGGATGCGAACTATCTTACCCTCGCCCATTGTCTTTCACATTCCTGCTAGAACGTAGTATCAATTTGTTGTCTGATAATGTGGAGCCGCAGAATATTCTTGTAAAAAATTCTATGATCGGACATTGGAGCTTGAGAGATTGCATTGCATTTCATTGCTTGGAATTGGGAGAGATTGCATTGCATTTCATCGCACAAACAGACGAATAAGGTTTCGAGAGAGGGTTCAGGTGGTGATGATACACATAGCAGCTAACTGAGGTCAGGTTAGGTAGAGCTGCATCTCTGAGCGGTTGTCCTGCTCGACGACCTCGAGGAAGACGGGGTCGACGATGATGTGGCTGTCGATGCGGACGGAGAAGCGGCGCGACCAGAGCAGCACGGTGGCCTCGCCCGCGATCTCCACGACGGCGTCCAGCTCCATGTGCCGGCGCGCGGTGTCGGCGAGGATGGCGCCGGCGTGGTGGGCGAGCTCCATGGCGTCGAGCCGGGCCGGGAGGTGGAGCAGGCGGCACGATGTGGCGGGCTGCTGGCCGGCGTCGAGGCGCGCGGTGCCCAGGAGCGTGCCCCCGTAGAGGATGGAGACGTTGGAGGCGCCGTAGCGCACGGGCACCACGTTGGGGTTGGTGGCGTGGACGGTGAGGGTGAGGCCGATGTCCAGCGCCGCCGGCGGCCGGAAGTGGAAGGAGGACAGGTTCATGGAGATGAGCTCGAAGCTCGGGTCCCTCGGCCTGCAGACCAGCACGCCCGCCGCCGCCGCCGTGGTGACGGCGCCGGCGAGGGCCGAGCCCCAGCTCCACTGCCGGGGGGACGACCTCGACGGCGCGGACCCCATGGGTGAGGTCTGGATTTGGTTTCCTTCCATCTCCATGAGCCCTGCGCCGTTTTTTTACTCCCGAGCAGGAATGAATCAGGCTCTTGGCGTGCCACTTTTGTGTTAGGCTGTTGGGCCATTGGGTGTTGTAGTCTTTTGGAGGTAGTGGGCTCTTCACTTTCAGTGGGGTGTGTCTGATGATGTGGAAACATCAAGGTTAGGAGCTGGGCTGGAACGCTAACATTTTGTCACTATTTGGACCCACGAGGAACGGGCAGATCGACTTCTCTCGAGGGAATCTTGAGGTTCTGACTGTTACGCTAGTTGAATGTAAAAATCGGAACCGACAGAAACATTTTTCAGAAAGGGTTTTTATTATTTATCCAGTGGTTCGACTTCTGCATTAAAATGATGCATGCAATCTTATTAATAAAACAAGCAGGTAAGTAGTCCGGTACAAGCTCGTAAGATGAGCTGAAATGAATATCAAAATCAAACTCACCACAACCGGCAAAAATCGGATAAGATGTCTAAACACCTATCCTATTGTTAGACTGCCATCCAAACTTATCCGGTGCAACCGCCTCTTAACTGTTGCACCCATAAGCCATAAGCTCTATGACTTCGCATGACTGGGTGATGATCACGTACGGATTCAACCAGTTGCTATGTAGATGACCTGCACAATATTTGTGATGGTTTGTCTATTAAAGACCACGTCATTCCGACAGTACAATATAGCCCAAATTAATGCACACACCCCAACTTGAATATGCTCCGTTATTTTAGGCTTCACTCCATTTAGTCATTGTCCCAAATAACGTGTCAATGCTATTAGGAGGACCGACATTGAAAGCCACATGTAGTGTAGGCCATAGTAACTTGGCTAGTGGGCCTTTGAGAAACAAGTGTTGGATAGTTTCATCTTGATTGCAAAACCAATATCGTTTAGTGCCCTCCTAACTATGTTTTGCCAAGTTGTTGTTAGTTAAAATCACTTCTTTGCGCACAAACCACATAAAAACCTTTATTCTTAATTAAATACACTTTAATCTTTCAAATATGAAGCGACTTTGGGACTGGACCAGAGTTTAGCAAATCTAAATACATAGATTTCACTGAGAAAACCCCTGGCATTGAGAGTTTCCAGTGAAGTGTATCTGGCTCATCAGAAAAGTTAATCTCCATCAACCTACACACAAGATGTAGCCATCTATCACATATGTCCCCCACCAGGACCTCCAGAATTGAATGTTTAAGGGAATCGATCCTAGTACCGTGCTTATGAAAACTTCTTTACTTTGTACAATGTTGTAAAGGGTTGGAAATTTTATGGCTAGTGGCTCTCCCCAAGCCATGTATCTTCCCAAAATCTAGTAGTATTGCCGTTCCCTACAATGAATTTAGTCCTATTGAAAAAGGTCACATTTGTCTGCATTAGCCCCTTCCAGAAAGGTGAATTATTCAGCTGCACCGTAATCTGTGCTAGGATCTTGGATTGCAAGTACTTGTTATGCAATAACTGTACCCACATACCCTCATCCTCGACAGATAGCCTCCATAGCCATTTACTGAGGATACACCTATTCTTTACCTCAAGGTTCTCAATTCCTAAACCCTCTTGGTCCTTCGGCCTACAGATTATATCCCACTTGACCAATCTGTACTTGGATTTATTCTTGTTGCATTGCCAGAAAAAACGTGATCGATAAGAGTCCAAGCTTTTCCGTACGCCCACTAGTACTTCAAAGAAAGACAATAGGAACATCGGTATACTTGTAAGCACGGAATTTATCAGAATCAGCCGACCCCCATAAGACATGAACTTGCCCTTCTAGCAACTTAGCTTCTTCTCAAATCGATCCTCTGTGCACTTCCATTCCTTGTTGGGGATACCCAGATAACTAAACGGTAGAGATCCCAACTTACATCCAAACAACTGTCTATAGTTTTTTCTGTTCTTCCTTGGCGCCCCCAAAACATAACAGTTCGTTCTTGTTGAAACTAATTTCCAAACCTGGTAGTTGTTCGAAAATACCTAAAACTAGTTTCATATTTCTAGCCTTTCCCAAACCATGTTCCACGAAGATAATTGTATCGACAACGTATTGTAGTATGGACACCCCACCATCGACAATATGGTATTAGCCCACCCACCTGTCCGTCCTCTTTGGCCCGACCAATGAGGACCGCCAACATATTTGCCACTATAGTGAACATGATAGGGGACATCGGGGTCCTGTCTTAGCCCCCTTTGCGTCTCGAAATAATGACATGTGTCATCATTTACCTTGATCCAGACGCTACCTTTTTGTAGAAAGCATTGGACCTACTTCCTCCAGGCCTCATTGAAACCCTTCATACGTAGAGCCTGTCGCAAGAGTGGTCATTTAACTTTGTCGTATGCCTTCTCGAAGCCCACTTTGAAGATCACTCCATTCAGTTTCTTCAAGTGAATTTCATGTAGAACGACCACACCCTCTAGGATGTGTCAGACCAACATGAAAGCCGTCTGAGTCGGCTGCACCACACTATGTGCAATCCACATAAGGCGTTTTGTACCAACTTTTGTAAAGATATTGAAGCTCATATTAAGTAGACATATAAGTATGAACTGCTCAATACGAAGTGCCTCCTCCTTCTTTGGAAACATCGTGATCATTCCAAAGTTTAGGAGGAATAATTATAGTTGGTGTCAGGACCCCGATCCTAAGTCACACCGATCTAGCATGTAACACATCATATCACTTTGCGGCCTCATGCATAATAACCCACGGTCGCCGCCATTACCCGGGCCGGGACCGTTTGCGCCTTTTGGCTCACGTATATGATAGTGTTGCTAGCATTCATATGACAGAGATCCCGAGCCGACATGACTAGTCGTGAATTCAAGGTGGCACAAACTTACAGGGACACGGATACGTAACCCAACAATGAACATGTCGGTCATCAACGTATGAACCCAAGTCGTAGCAAGCTACAAGGATTTAAAGGAACAACACGTGACATTTCCCCGAAGGGACAGACACGGGAACAAACAAGGATACTTGCCGGCCAACCTAAGTGTTCCGGAGCAATAGCGAACTATCATAGCTCAGTGGAAGCACTAGGAGACATTTCACCATAAGGAAGGCTACCAAGAATAAACAACTAGGTGTCGGATCCCACACATAGCAATACACGTTACACGTACGCATAACATGCAAGTATGCGATGTATAACATGGCATCACAACATAACTCAACAACTCATATAGACAAGGGTCCATAAGATCCATCATAGCATTTATTACAAGCAGCGGGTCTCATGACCCTTCACACAAAGTCATACAAGCCAAGCGGAAGCATAAAAATGTCTGAGTACAGACATCTAAAAAGAGAGAAGGCTAGAAAGCCTGTCAATCTACAAGACTCTCCAAAGGAACCAGACCTCTGTCTGGGATTCCCAAGCTAATCGTCGAATCCCAGATGAAACTACTAGTGAAAATGAAGTCTTTCTATAAAAACATAAATTAAGCAAACGTGAGTACAAATATACTCAGCAAGACTTACATCAGAACGAGCTACATATGCATCAGTATCAACAAGTGGGTGGTGGAGTTTAGCTGTAGCAAGCCAACTTTGACTCACTGGCTATCTTGTACAACGTCTACTAGCATTTTCTTTGAGATGAGAAAGCGCACATGAGTCCACATATTCACCATATCAATACACCACTATGGATCAGCTCCCGTCTCCCTACGAGAAGGCCATCCATAGCACTCACTCTTATCTTGCGCATTTTAGAGTATCCACTTCCAGTTATCTATGAACAATGTAAGCTTTCCAAGTAGCCCATATCCGAGGACGCGGCTATCCAAATAGATCATTAACCCTACAGGGGTGTACACTACTGCATGATACTGCTAACACGACACTACGATCAGAGACCCTTTGCCGAAACTGTGTGCGATGCAATAATCGCAAATAGTGGTGTAAAAAACCTGTCAAAAAAGGTGCAAAATGTTTGCAATGGCGGAGCCATCAAACACGGTTCAGATTTTAGTTGCATGTGCGATGCAGGACACACGGTTAATCTATTCACACTGTCTGCGATGAGGCAGAACAACAGAAATGGGCAGCCATAACAATGTGTGTGCGATGCAGGACACACGGTTAATCCATTCGAACTGTTTGAGATGAGGTAGAACAATAGAAATGGGCAGCCATATCAATGTGTGTGTGATATACGACATACGGTCAACTCGAACGAACTATTTTCGATTAGGGAACACAACAGAAATGGTTTAACTTAACAAGATGTGTGTGATATGCGGCATGCAGTTCACATGGATGAACTGTTTGCGATGAGCCAAAAGAACACAAACGAGTCATGTAAACAAGATGTGTGTGATACATGGCAAACAACCAACTCATATGAACTGTTTGCGATGAGAAATTAAAACACAGATGATCAATGCAGTTACTTCATGTGCGATTCTGTGTGTACAAAAAACTTTGAAAAATGCAAACTAGTTGCTTGTGGTGGCGGAGTATCGCACACGATGCGTCTGCGAGTACTCGTGTGCGATGATTAGTATTTCACACATACGTTTCCTTATGTTAACATGTGTGTGAATTTGCAATATGGACAGTTAATATGCAAATGCCTTCTGGTCATCGGGCACACGCTTAAACTCAATGAACTGTGTACACACTAATACTTTCCATGACAATTTATGAACTTGGGTAACAACATTTGAGTAACATATATATAGTGGTTACACTATTCGACAAAACAGGATCTTCGTAACATGGTTTTGACAACCATATGGTCCATATCTACATACTTAACATAGTAACAACTATCACATTTTAAGAGGCTAAGGGCCAACAACCATATGGTCCATATCTACATACTTAACATATATAGTAACAGCTAGCACATTTTAAGAGGCTGAGGGCCAACAACCATAACTATCCACTGAAAGCAGCTTGATCACGGCGACTCGACATCTCGTCAATGAAAAGGAAGAGCCCTCCTGTGCCTTGGTAGATCATGAGTAGAACAGTGTCTCT